TTGATTGGACCATAAGCAAACTTTTTCTTGGGCTCTTGCTCTCTACCCCAACATCCCAAAAAACAAACACACACATAGACTTATCTCAAAAACATTAAAAATGTAAACATAAAGAACTGGTCCTCACTCATGGATTGGTCCAGGCTCACTGGTTGATTGCTAGAGGTTACTGCACATCATTACTGCTCACCCATTAGTTGCTAGAGGTTACTGCACATCATTACCGCTCATTGATTTGTTGCTAGACGTTACTGCACATAATTGCCACTCACTGTAGAGCTTACTGCACATCATTACCACTCACCCATTAGTTGCTAGTGGTTACTGTACATCATTACCACTTACCCATTGTTTTATAGAGGTTACTGTACATCATTAACGCTCATCCATTGGTTGCTAGAGGTTACTGCATATCATTACCACTCACTCATTGGTTGCTAGAGGTTACTGCACATAATTACCGCTCATTTATTTGTAGTCAAAAAATGCAGCGCTATAATAGATCAATAAATGGAAATATAGGTGACAATTGCGCAAAATGATGCGCTAATAAGTGATGACAGTGGTGTCTTATTGAAGACAGAAAATATTATAAAGTGACAACACTAACATATAACTTCATTATAAGTGAAATCAATAAGAATCCTTGAATATGCTCAAAATAAATGTGTCAGCTTTTCCAAAAGCAGGAAGATAATGGACATTCTCTTAAACTTCCATCGTACAATCATAAGTCCACATGAATTCCATGATTAGATAGGAAAAGGGGTGTGCTTGCACTCACCAGACGTAAATGATTTTACGCATGTATTAAAGGAACACTTATAGTCATCTGGAACCTGGTTGAAATAAGGCACTCCAATGGCGCTTGGTATACCCAGGAACAATCCTCTGGACCACTCAATGGACCCTCATCAATGGTGGGAACCTCATACAGATTAAATTACACCTGGCATTTGGTGTATTCAGCAACAATGGGAGATCCACCTTGAAGTAGCTCAAAACAAAGCCACCAGGACAAAAAGCTGATATAGTGTATTAATTTATTCAGCCCAATGATGGTAGTCACATATTAAAGTAACAAGAGTAATGACAAGCAAGTAGCAACAGGTGGCAGTAGCTACAAGTAGTGGATACAAATAGCATAAGCTCATGCGTGATGACAGATAGCTAATAGCTATTTCTGTTATGCCAAAATGCAGATGGAAATTAGATCAAAATGGCTGATAGCCAGAGCAGGTAGAGGTGGCGTCAGCAAGGCAGGCTGGTCCCCTCATGTGTTTTGTGCAATGGCACATTGTCATAACCGCTCATTTATTGGTTGCTAGAGGTTACTGCACATCATTAACACTCACCCATTGGTTGCTAGAGGTTACTGCATGTTATTACTGCTCACTGATTGCCTGCAACTCAGTGCCTCCTTTGCAAGCTGCTCTATCCTCCCGCTGCATCACTAATCTCCCTCTCTGTTGACAGAAGAAGGGTGAAGGAGAAGAAACCACACACCATTGTTTGTGTCTTTGATCTCTGTGCTGCTGAACAGAGAAGGGGAGGTGAGAAGGGGGAACACAAAGAGCCGGCCAGCTCTGCCTCACTCCCTGTCACAGCTGCTCTGGTCCTGACAGAAAGAGAAGTGGAATGAGCGGGCTCCAGAACATGCAGCCCACAGCTGTGCCTGTCTCTTTCACAGTGTGGCCATGGGAGAACATGAAAAAACCTTTATAATTTAAAAAATGGGGGGTAGACTCAGTGGGTGCTAAACATTAATTCCAAATTCATAATTCGGCACTTATAGGAATTATATTATATTTATGGCAAGCTTGCAAAATTTTATGATTAATCATAATTAATATTAAAATGTGTGGTTGGCCTTGAACAAGTGATAGTGTTGAATTCTTCAGTTATAGCTGAGACAGTTAACTAGCTGAAAGCTGAGGATTTAGGACATTTCTATAGATGGGCATAGCTGGTTAAAAGATCTCTGGTATAGGATGTCATGGGAGTGAACCAAAATAGAATTAGTATGAAATAATATATATTCTAATAGCGTCTGTGTGTATTAATTTATGTTTTATAAGTTGCTAATGTGTGTTACATAAGTAGATTTTTGGTTCCACAACATTATTGAGATATTATGTTGTAAAGATAGATTCTTAGTTATACTACTCTTTAAACAGAGAAACTGGTCACATTAGTAGGCTGATGCAACATTGTCAACTTATGAAGCCACGTTTCAGATCAAGAAGAGTGTTACATATGGGCTTGTCAATCAAAAGACCATGTATGTAGTATCCCTTTCCTTCAATGAAATCGCTCTACTAAGCAGAATTGATTGCCATACAAGCTTCTGAGTTATGAGAATTATGACGTCTACATGTAACATAAAAATATATTCTTAGAGATGAAGGATACACAACACATAAGCATTCACACACACACACACACACAATGAACACACAGACACACACACACAATGAACACACATGAAGACACTATGGTTATTCACATACTGACAAGCTGAAACAGGTGCATTCTCTTAGAGACCTAAGATCACATCACTTCCTTCTTCTTGCTCAGACTAATGCTGCATTGAACAGACAAGAAGCACATGGCAGGACAGTCATGACAATAAGGTTGACACATCTTTATAACTTCTGTTCTTATATTTTTGTTTTACCTACAATGAACTGTTATTTATGATACGTTTTACATTGTTATTTTAAGCCATTGTGTGATAAAATAAAATCACACTTTATTTTTACTTTACCGGCTCTTTAATGGTCTGAAATCGCCTAAATACACTAGACATTATTATATGCGTCTCAGAAAATTTTACAGTGGGCCACTTGGTCTTTTTTTTCTGCCATCACCTTTCTATGTTTCAAAAAATAGATAGGATAAAACACCACATTAAGTTGTCCGTTTATCATGCAGTAGTATATGAGCTCAGTTCTCTGGTATTCTCAGAGGAGACAGCTCTCCTCTGACTGCCTGTTTATGAATGCTTTGAACTCTAGAAAATGACTGCTGTTACTGTTTTCTCGCAAGATTATAGTGAGATTACAGTAAGGAGACCGCTCAGTACCTCACTACACTGCATACACGCAGACACACACATACTGTATATATATATATATATATATATATATATATATAGTGTTTCTAACTTGCTCTACCCCGTCTGCTGTTGTGAAAGGCAGGGGGGCTTTTCCACTGTCTTGGGGGCTCTGATTGAGGAAGAAGGAAGTCAATAATCTTCCTCCTCAGTTCTTCTGGGATTCACTCTCTCTCCCTGATTCTCCACCTCTAGGCTGGAGAATCCAGGTAGGAGAATTTTTGCATAGATTGCCAGTAAAGGGCTGACATCAGTCCTTTATACACTGGCTGTTTCTGTTTCTGTGAATGACAGATTCTCTGTGTGATGAGATGATCAGCAGAGAACATGTTTTCCCCTGATCATCTCTGTTTCATGAACCACTAATGTTCTGAGATCAGCAACGATCCTCTGGATCGCCGCTGATCTAAGTTTCATATACAGACCCCTAAATGTATTTCAGAAAATGTATTATTAATCCAAGATGAATTATTTTATATAATTTGCTATTTTACCCTTATGCAGGGGACTTCTTGGAATCTTTATATGACTCCAAATAAAAAAAAAATTCCAGACCTGACACTTGTTTTGGTACTTTCCTTCATATATTTCCTATCTTTCTGAGATGAGAGCTGAACTCTTCCCACTCCTTGGCAATTTTCAACACTGTCCAAACCTGAAATAAAGAGACATTGTTATTTTTGTATCTACTCTGTTTCATCTGCTAATAAAAAGGGATGAGCTTCGATCTGCATATGACCTCAGTTAAAGCAAGCTGGCAAATAAAAAAAAGTTTTTTTGTAAATGAAATTTACCTATGCATTCTTCCTTTATTTATTTTTGTAGGACCTTGGAAAGCATTTCTTCATGATCAGTAGATCACGGATGCAATGTGGGCTCCTGCAGACATGTCATCCAACTTTCAGCCCATATCTCTGAGCTATGGGCTTTCTGTTTGGAAGCTGGAGGATATGTCATAGCCCACTGAAACTACAAATCCATCTGCTGCGATTGCATATGGTACTTATGGTAGTTTATTAATTTACAGGAAACTGTAAATGATTGATGTGTCTGTGTCGGTGAGCCCACACAGCTGCACTGTTTTAAAAAATGACAGCAGATGAGAGGGTAAGAACCCCTGCCGGATTACACAAGGAAGGGGGGGTGCAGGGGGAGAGGGGGCAGGAGCTGGAGCATGTTATATGTTCCACCCTAAATATGGGTGAAACATGTAACATTTTCCAAAAGCAATCTTAGGCTTTAACTAACATTATTTAAACTTGTTTTGTTTATTTTTAAGTGTCACATTTTGAAAAAGTGCAAAAAAACCTCACTTTGTTTCATTTGTAAATAACTTTGCAATGGTAAATTGCAATGGTACCAGAATCTTAATACAGGAACACTATTTTTAAACTAACAATGAAAAGGAAAGTGTTTTTTTTTAGTTTTGTTAGTATTTTTGACTAAGGATTAAAAAAAAAACCACTATATTAATTACTTTGTTATCTTAAGTAATGAGATAGTTTTTGCTATAAAAACAGGTTCAAAGCAGAAATGTAAACATTTCTCTGGTCTTATAAGGTTCTCATGTTCTGCTGTAAAGGTTCTACACACCTACAATTCAATGGTTCCATGTATCTTTGCAGTGTATTCAGATTCAACCATTGTGAGTTTCTGTTATGCAGATCTTAAGACCATGGGCAGACTGACAACTCATGGGGCCCCCAGGCAATAGGGGATCATGGGGCCTGTGTCCTTGCCCAAACTGAAAAAAGCCTATGAAAAAGGTAACAGGGGCATCTTATGGGGCCCCCTACTGTCCCCAGGCCCTCGGGCAGTGCCCGAGTTTCCAAATGGGCAGTCCGCCCCTGCTTAAGACAAATATTTGATATCTCTCTGCCCTTAGATCCTCTCCACTATCTCATGGGATAGCATGTCTAAGCACTCCAAGAAGCTCGCTACATGCATCCTGAGAGCAGCCAGGAGACTCATCTCTCATTATCAGAGGTCTACTGAGGTTCCTTCTCAATCCCACCCTCTCTCCACCATCGCAGATATTAGAAAGACAAAGCAACTTGTGGCCACAGTTAGAGGTACGATTGAATTGTTTAATAAAATATGGGCTCCCTGGGACTTTCCTCTGTTGGTATGCTACCATCTATTACTACCTTGCCCTTATCTACCCTTATGCTGTATTATCATGAGAGGCTGCCAAAAAGTAGGTTATTATGGTGTGTACTTTTGACCATATCATGTTTTTTTTATATGTGTTTTATGCTGTTGGAGGGTAGGGGACATTCTGGTAGTCCCTATCCATTCTCAGAAATGTTTGTAAATGCTTCTTATTTCCTTCAATCTGATCTATCTCCATCTTCACTTGTAAAGTTACAACTTTAGATTGTTCATTGTGTATACTTCAGAGCCCTCCATAATGTTAATCTGTAACTAGCCAATATCAGGATATGCTCTGCTTATCTAACTGTACACTTTGATCTTTGTATTTGTTATATCTGACTATGTTATTACCTTGTACTTTGTTATAAAACTTTAATAAAAATTACTATTATTAAAAAAAATTGCTCTGTTATCTTGGGGGTGTACATGTGTGAGAGGGGAAGAGATTAAAACATTCTACATACAATAAGATTGACATATGACAACATATGACATAAGAAGCAAACACGCCAAAGCTGCTCCAGGTGCGTAGTGTGAGTCATCAACTGACCATTAGAGTGAAGGTGCTCACACAGCTCGTCTGTGGAACTACAAGGCAAAAACGTCTGGAATCCGATGCACTCTTCAATCTTTATTTATTAAATAAAATGAAATGAAAAACCCTCTTGGTGTCAGTACATCTTCTCAATTCTTTATTCTTTCGATGTAATAATCCAAATATATTGTCAGCTTCCATCGTGTAACTCCAAAAAAATATATATAAAAACAAGATAGTGTATTATCCTCATTATATATTCAAGTATTCAAAAACATATATATATAAATATAAATATGAAACAAATTGCCAAATTGTGACTAACCGTGAATCACATGACAATGAACCCCATGAACACTTCTAAGTGGCTAGAGTGAATACTCTTACCCTATATAAAATAAAGCGCTGATGAAACGTGTTAAGGGACGTGACGTCGGACGTTAAAGATTGACCAGAAGTAGCGGAGCGGCCATTTTTACTAAGTGAAAGCAATACATGCAGTTCCTGGAAGCTGTTTGGAGATCCTGTAATATGGGAATACATGTGTTTTATTACTTATATCATGCAAACATATTTTATTAAAGCCTCGACTGATTGATTTGAATACTACACTATATAGTCCTTTCTTTCTTTCTGGGTGATGCTTTTTGGATGGCATTGAGATGTATATCCTGTGAAAGCAATCTTATTCTTATGTCATGCTTGGGGACAAGTGTTAATCCGGTAAGCTGCATGATTTGGAAGGTGGAGGAGAGTGTTACACGAGTGATTACTATGTTACATATTTATCTGGAGGATATTGCACTATTATTGAAAATCTTTTTTGGAGGTATTTTTGCACAGCCATCATGGAATGATCCTGAAGAAATTATTGGAGAATACGTATGGGGAATATTATCCTAAAGGCCTTTGTTTATTTTATACAGGGTAAGAGTATTCACTATAGCCACTTAAAAGTGTTCACAGGGTGTTTCACATTGTCACATGATTTGCAGTTATTCACAATTTGGCAATTTGTTTCATATTTATATATATATGTTTTTGAACATTTGAATATATATTGAGGATAATACACTATCTAGTTTTTATATATATTTTTTGGAGGTACACGGTGGAAGTCGACAATATACAGTATTTGGATTATTACATCGAAAGAATAAAGAATTGAGAAAATGTACTGATACCAAGAGGGTTTTTCATTTTATTTTATTTTTGGACTTTCAAGGGTGAAAGTGTGACTTTTTGAGTGTCATTTTCACAGTTATTGTTTATATTATTTTATTTGGACACCGTTTTTTGGTTTTGTATTGAATCTTTATTTATTGTCAATAAAATCCATGTCACAGACAGTGTCAGGGACAATGAGGCTAACGCATTTCACGCTGAAAATTAATGCTTATTCATAACCACTAGGTAGCACAGACAACTACATCACATATATACCTTGTGTGTGATTATAGAGCCACCCTCACCTGAAACTAAAAAAGACTCCTCCCAATCTAAGAGATAAAAGAGAGAGAAAAGCAGGTTATGTAGGGCAGCACCATACATACATGGATTCAAACCATAACTCCATTATTCCATATACTCTGGGTTTCCTCTCAATAGATCAATGCCCTGTATATGTAGATGGTGGTAGAATACTTTACATCTTTTTTGTTTTTTCCGGCCTTGTGTTATATGACATAAGAAGCATTTTGTAGAATTTTAAGTATAATTAATCATGTTTTTGGACACTGAAGAATAATTATGAACCTTAAATCAGCTGGCATAATAGCTGTATTATGTTGTCTTTATGTTTTTAATTTACCCCTTCATCTGCTTTTCTTAGCATCTCTACACTTTGTTGTGAGGAATCAACTGTATATAGTGTATTATAAATACTGTGATTACATGTTAGCATAATAAAAATAGAGAAAAGAAGCTGAAGGAATTATACATGATTTTGCTTTTAATTTTTCAAAAGCATATATCATGATTTTCAAACTCATTCTAGTACTCAGATATGGTTCAAATGTAAAACACTAATTTGAATGTTTTCCCATTATTAGAGTGAGCTGTAGTTGGTTACATTTACTGCAGTTGTTTAGTAATATTGAAGTTGTTTCACCACTCATACAAGTGGCTTCCTCAGTTCAAATGATGGGAAAATTACCCCTATTTTTTATATCAAATGTAGTCAGTCATATTAATCCAATCATCATGGTGTCAAGAAGTGTTCCAAGGCAAATGTAGATTTTGGAAGATCATGACAAGAATTATCTACGGTCTTTCATACTTTCACACTAAGTCAAGATTGTAGACAACTGTCTTAAACATATATTAATATAATATTATTCACAATTCAAAGTTTCTCATTCACATTCAATATAGGGATAGTTTAAGATTTAAAAGACTGCTGTTCAATAATCTACTATATCTACTTCAGCTCCAGAAGATTTTACCCCCTTTTCATGACAAGACCATTTTTTGCTATTTAGCACTGCGCTACTTTAACTGGTAATTGCGAGTTCAAGCAAAGCTATACCCAAACAAAATTTATATTTTTTTTTTTCCAAAATAGAGCTTTCTTTTGGTGGTATTTGATCACTACGTTTTTATTATTATTATTATTATTATTATTATTATTATTATATAAATGAAAAAATACTGAACAGTTAAAAAAAATAAAAAAATTATTTTCCGCTATAAAACATATCCAATAAAAAATGTTTTAAAAAGTCAAATGCCTTCCTAAATTCAGGGCAAAATGTTTTCTGCTACATGTCAACAAAAAAATCCCATAAGCGTATATTGATTGGTTTGCATGAAAGTTATACCATCTACAAACTATGGCATATGTAGTATACTGGAATGTTTATTGACTTATTTAATTTTTATACTAGTAATGGCGGCAATCAGAGACTTATAGTGGGACTGTGCACTGGAAATCTGACACTAACTGACACTGGTTGGCAACTAATTAACACTGATATCACCAATGACACTAATGCAATGATAAGTGATGATACTATAACTTTCACTGTACTAATGACACTAGCTGGGAAGGGGGTTAACATCTTGGGTAATCAAGGGGTAAGTGTGTGTTAATGTGTGTACTATGTGCTGTTTTTTTACAAAAAATCTCTTTGTTCCTTCTCTCTGCTTTGCAGGGATAAGAAACACAGAGATTGTTCCCTCTGTACTTAGCCCTGTGTTTATTGTCAGCACAGGGCTCTGGGCTATGATTGGACACACTCGATCAGCAGGTCCTGGCCATGATTCATTGGCCTGGACCTGCTGACAAAATTCAACTGTGTCTAATCACAAAGGGAGATGGTGGGCAGAGGTGCATGCATCCTGTATGTAGAAGAGGCCAGTAATGTACAGGTACATTGTTGTGCTTGTACGGGCCACCCGTCCGCAGTACAGTACATGTGGGCAGGCAGTCCTAAGTGGATGTCCAAGCCAATTGCATGCATCAGAATCAGTTTACAAATTCAGAATCAGGGGGCATGACCTAGAGAGGAAAGGTAGCAGGACACAAGAAGTACCAGCTTCTCTCTATGAATAATCTGTTGGCAAAACAAAACTGACAGGGGTTATAACCCTCCCTATTCAAAATGAAACAAAAAGGTTTTGCCTTTAGTTACACTTTAACACTTCTTAATTCAAGTATAAGCAGACATTTACCTCCTCACCAAAATAATCCCAAGACATACATCCTCTAAATTTAGTAGAACAGTGACTTCTATCTTCAAAGTAGATGCATGAGACATTAATATGATGACCAACAAGGCTTCTCCTATTTTTCTATCACACATGACTCTGTGCCAAACTGCCTTCTCTCCTCTACTTGAAGATGTATACTTATTTTCTAGAAGTTTTTCAGACCATTACCTATGCTGGAAAAACTAATAATATGTCTATATTTATATGTCAGAATGTTGATAAAATCTGTTCAAACATTCTGTTAGGGAGACGATTTCAAAGATTTAACCTTTTGTGAAAAATGCATGTCTGGTAAACATTTCTCAGATTGTAGTTTTCAGGAAAAGCCATAGCAAGGTCAACTGTGGCATAGAAAACTTGCAAATGTTTACCATTCACACTTTCCAACTGACATTCACAGCTTTGTTTTTGACCCTGTGTACAGTACATAGAGTAAAGACATAAAACCACTTCATAAACCCAAGGAAGTTGCATTTAACTTTCACCTGAAACATGCTATGTAATAAATACAGTATATTGTATTTAACTCAACATACTTTTGGTTATTTTTAAAA